ATATATATATATATGTATATATATGTATATGCATCTATATATTCATCTTATCTCATTGGCCCAAAACATGATGGTTGCAGGGTCAAACTTAAATAACTTTAGCTGCTACAATCTAAATCTGTCCCTGTTTTCACAATCTCCAACCTTGCAAGTTGTCTTCAGAGGCAGGCCAGAGGAAACTTCCACCTAATTATGCACTACACTGTGCATGCAAGGATGCCTCCTTATGTTCTCATTTTTTTTGACAATATATTCTTTTCTTTCCCAGTTCCTGTACTAGCTGTAATGATTCATAACATTATTAAAGGAATATCTAAATTCTTGAAAATTGTCTAAAAGAGAGAACACAAGGAAAATCTTACCAAAGTGTCTCTTTATACTAAGATTTCAATATTCTCTCATTTCTTATATGTATTTTTATTTCTTCAGTGGTCAGATCAGTACATCTTTACAACTTGCTGCTGGGGACCACTGGTTACACCATGGCAATATCTGTATGAGTATTTGAATATCCATTGAATGCTAGCTGGAAATGTCCAACCTGATGTGATATGTTTAAAGGGTCCCTAGCAATAAGAGGCTAATCATAATTCTCTGGATTTTTTCTGATTAAACTTAAACAGATATCATTGCCATTTTCTCTGTATGAAACTTTACTGTCCAAAAGGAAAACTGGTTGTTTCTTGTATTTTTTTTATGTTAAGCAATATTGCAAGTGGTATATTGAAGAAATTTTATTATAATGTGAACGCTTTGCTATTTATACAACATAACTATTATATCGAAGTAGGAGCATCTGAAAGAAATAAAAGTCTAAACATTGCAAACAATGTATATTTTACAATATTACTCACACTTTTTACATAAAAAATAACTGTTTCTTCACAACATCTGTATATTTCAATACTACAATGAATGTATTCAATAACATAAACTATAACAAATATCAAGAAATATGTAAAATGTAATAAGTATTAATATGGATATATATTCTATATATCTAATCCACTTGGAATAAAGTAGAAATATGTACATCTATACAAGTGGGAAATTAATTATATATTTTAACTTTGCATTTACTTCTATCAAAGAAAATAATACTTCTCATAATCACAATAATAATATTCAACAGATATAACTGTAAATGTACCATATTCTAAGAAGTTCAAGAAAGCAATAGCATCCAATGATTTTTTTTTACAGGATATGAATTCGTTTATCGCATTTTTTATTACCTCAGACAGAATACTGTCCACACCTTACATAGCAACCCATGTTACAAAATATCAAACCATCACCAGTAGTATTCTGTTGCATATTCTTACAGATATAGGTAATTATTATTCACATCATTAATATGTCAACCTATCAAATTAGAAATGCAAATACTTTTAGAATGCCGAGAACAATGAAATTGCCACTGTGACCCAGTTTGTTCACTTATACAGTAATTCTAAAGCAGAGAAATGAATACCTCTTGCTCTGTAATGAGATATACACATCAAGGAAGAAGACATGACAGGATATCTTGAAGACTATGACAATCCCTGGAGCAGGGGAATTGAAGACTTAAGCCGTCTAATGCCTATTCTATTGGGATAAAATGTAGTTACTGATGAAACCAGAATGTATCATGAAAAAACAATGATGTTAATGTACCACTAGCACTTCTCAAGTTTGCTTACTATGAAAATTTCTCTGATGAGAGAATACATACACAAACTGAAATCAGATGGCTGGTAAAATTACCACATAGTTGTTGAGGGATCTG